CGCCCTACGCCATGCAGTCTCAATCTGAGCCCTGGTTTAAATCCCAGCACCAGTCTTCATCTGCAGCCTCATTTCCGGCTCCTCCCACAATTGGCCACAGCTGCTAGCATTTATGGCAGGTGTGGCCCTGTGGTGTGGAGCCAATTATCTCCAAGCTCTTTTGGACCCCATTACAAATCCCTATTTGGGGTTCCCCTCTTGGCTGCACCCTGTTACAGTGATAGATGTTCTCTACTTTGTAAAACTCATCATGTGTGATGTTGATGTATGCATATTGGAAAGGCAGAGGTGGCCACAGGTCATTGTATGATTGCAACCAAAGCTCCTAGCTAAGGTGAACTGTTAAGTGCTAAAAATGAACTCTAAACAAAGCACCTGGAGGCCCAGAAGAAAGTGATTCTGATTTGGGTTGGCGGAGGAATTGATCACAGTGCTTGTTGCCACAGTTCAGGGCTTCCATCATGAAGGTCTTTGGTTGCTATTTTGTTTTGCTTTGATTTCTCCTCTAAGAATAGTTTTTCAGAGGTGGAACTGTTTGATCAAAGAGGAGACACATTTTAGGATTCTTCAAACAAAGTCAAATTGTTTTTCATAAAATGTAATGCATTCATAGGGTCTCTCCCCTGTATGGAGGCAGTGATGTCTGTCAAGGTCTGAGAAGGAAGCTTTTCCCAAAGCCAGGCCCCTCAAAAGTTCCCTTTTCTGAATGAACCCTCTGGTGCTCAGCAAGTGTAACATAGACAGGTCCTTGGAGTTTCCTCTATTCTCTTTCTATAGATGGTTATGATGATCTATTAGATTTGCTAAATCTGGGAATTTCCACATTGATTTTCTAAACATTTTTAGTGTTTGCTTGTTTTTGGTAAAACAGAACCATGGAGAATGTTCCCTCTAAAGGAACAATGAGTATATGAAGAGTTCCCAGAAGTAGAAGTTTTTTTTCTATGTCTGTTTTATCTCCTGATCTCAAAACTTGAGAGAAGAAATACAAACTGAACATGTTACCTTGTTCCAAGGAGAAAAAAAAAAAAGAGTTGTATTAAATCAGTAATGGGATACTAGAAACACCTATGTAGATTCCCAAGATTTTCCTCCAATTAAGGCTGAATTTTTGTTTTTTCTTTCTTCATATCGAATGGATACTCACCCATTTTGAAGTAAAATATTTGTTTCATTTCTTTTGAGTCCTGCAAACCCTTCACCCATGTCCTATCTCTATGCTTCACAGGGAAGTCAGGCCAGACTGTAATACCGGATATCCTGGTCATAAAAAAGACTGGAAGCATGATATTTGGGTCACTGCTGGTTTTTCCTGAATTAAGGCTGATTTCTGAGGCAGACAACCCCTGTATTTCCTTCTCAGGATTATTTCACCTGGAGCCTCTGTCAGGCAATTTTTCAATATTAGAACAAAACTAAAATGAGGGGAAAGTTCCTTTTGTGCTCAATTCAAAGCTCTTGTCCTCCTATAGGAAAGGAGTAAATTAATTATGTTAAAGTAATGCAATAAATTAGTTTTACATTTTTTAACATTTTGATAAAAGAATTATCTGTTAGGTTATTGAGTTCCAAGAGAAGAGAGAGAGGTAAAAGTGGGAGTTTTGGAACTATGTCCTGGATTGATTTCAGTTAAGAGATTTTCAAAGAAAAATTGATATCCGAACTAGGTTGGTTGGTGACCAGGAAAATCCATCTTTATATTTTCTTTTAGTCGAAGTCTAGGAGTGGATTATCTTGAAATTAACCCAAACAACTACCTAACACTGTTTCTAGCAATCTAAAGACAACTAGTAAAATTTTCTCCAGCTGAATTTCCCTCCATGTCCTACTATTCTTTCCCTCACTGAGACCAGTTATGGTTTGCACTCCTTTTTTTTTAATCCTCACCAGAGGACTTTTTATTTTTCGGGGTGGGGGAGTGGAGAGAGAGATTGACAGATAGATGGATAGATATTGTTGTCATGAGAGAAACACTGATCAGTTGCCCTCTCTTATGTGCCTGGACCAGGGACTGAACTCTGACTCAGAACCTGGGTAAATGCTCCAACCAGGGGTTGAACCCACGACCCTTCCGTTAGGGGATGATGCTCCAATCAACTGAGCCACACCAATCAGGGCAGGTTTACACCCTTTTTATGTGTCCCTTCTTTTCCCTCCTCTCCTCTGACAAGTTTAGTGGTCTGCAGAAACATGTGGGTTTTTAAATAGTGACTTAAGATCCAAATAGAGAAAAATGGTTAAGTATCAATATTGACAGACACTATTAGCAAGTTAGTGTGGTTAATGTTAATGTGAAGGAAAATTTAAATTCCAAAACATCAAAAAGTAGGAAGTAGAGCAAAATGCCTTATTTTATGTTTTCATAGAGGAAAGGCAATAATTTCAGATTAGCAAAAATAAAGTTCATTTCAAAGGAAATGCCACTTACAGTCACTATCTTGTTTATGATTGGATTTGAAAGCTAAGAGTGGGATCAAAGAGTAATGTGGTGCACTTACAAATAAACCCTTAGCCAAAGATCACAGGAAAGCTGTAGTCAAAGTGGGAAGAAACCAAAACTGACGAAAGAAGCAAATAGCAAAGGTTTAGGTTGGCAGAAACCTAGAGGCCAGAATATCCTAAGGTGAGCAACTTTTCAGAAAGACAGGAACTGCTTATTTGTCTGCTCCTATGCCAAAGAGAATAGACGTCAAAGTCTTAACACTAGATGTCATCAAATGTCAATCTGAAAATCCCCGAGTGCAAGGGAATATATAAGACCCAGGTTAAGGATTCAAAGCAGCTCTAGAGACAGAATCTAATACTTGTGAGAACTAAGACCAGGAGTAACAGGGATCTTTATCTGAGATTCAAATTTGTTTTCCTCTGAGATTCAAATTTGTAACAGTCAAGGAGCCACCTACAACTGAGGACAGGAAAGTAAAAGAAAGTAGATCAACAGTGGTTACAAGGCATACTCAAGTCCCTTTAACTTACTTTTCACCAAAGCCCAAAGTAGTCACTTGCAATATTTATGGCGGTTTTGAGAACTTGATGAAAGCATCCTAGAAAATACACACACATGTGCAATTTTGCATAAGGTATAAAAAGACTATAAATCTATCCACATGACCCTCTAGCACTTTATTGACCAATATGGTAGCCACAAGGTAACACGTAACAACACTAGCTTCATTTTAAATGCTCAATAGCCAACACTACATAAGTTCCATTGGACAGTGCTACTCTAGAATTTCATGAACACTAGGTAACTTCTGCCCCAAATAAACCCCTGTAGATCTGCTGGCTTGTACCCCCACTCCAAAACACCAGCTATTTTCTGTCTGAATATAGATGAGCCTCAAAGGCAGTAGGATCTTAACAGTAATTTTGAGTAACCGTGACAATCTATCTAGCTCTAAGTACCCATTTAATAACCTAAAATCAAAAGGAATTTACCTGGCAAATGATTCACCCTTCATTCTTCCCATGTCAAGGTATGTGTTGTTTTGCAAACATTCCCATACACATCCTGCAATAATAATCCAAGAGGCTTTTCTACGAGACAGGGTCAGGCTTCAGGAATTTGTTGTGCATTAATAACAGCTAATATTTGTCGAGTTCACACTAAGTGCTAGGTACTGTTCTAAGAATCCTGCATGTTAGCTCATTTAATCATCATTCCACATTATAAAGTGGGTATAGAATTAGTCCTTTAAAACTGATGAGGGTACTGAGGTTTGGGGCTTAACAAGATTTAATAACTTGTCTGAGACAACATAGTAAATGCCAGAGAACTGGTTATGAGATTAGTATCTAGTATCTTGAAATATAAATATCTGTAACATGACAATGGTCTTTGAGAACTTGGAGGTCACAAAGTTTTCCGAAATAGACTTGTACTTGCCAGTGCACTATGAAGCCTCTGGATCTGCATCTGCCACAACTGCTTGTGGACTTGACTTTTTCCCTAGAGTGGAACAAGAAAAAAAAAAAAAACTCAGGACTCTTCTTGTGTTCTCTTAACACCCTTTACTATCATGGTGGTCTGAATTTCAGCGATAGACTAGCTGTGTGACCCTGAGCAAGTAGCTTCATTGACACTTCGTGCCGTTATCTGTAACATGGGCATGATAATAGCATATACTTCCTAATTTTGTGTGTTGTGAGGATCTGGCTGCATGTAAGCAGGCACTCAATAAACAGTGCTGGTTGTCATGGCTCACTCCTAAGACTTCTGTATCGTGAGTTGATGGGCCTGGCCTTTGATGGAGGGAATGGAGAAACTGGGCCATCTTTAGCCGTGGACACCCACATCACAGCTGGGCCACCCACCCCTCACCAGCACAACTCAGGAAACCAGCCCTCTGGGTGTGCTTTCATTTACTTCTCACAAGGCAGGTTTATGGCGGAGCTAGAAGATGAATAAGATCCTGGGCCCGCAGGGCTGGAAGAATGAAGTACCTGTCCCAGGCAAGTTTAAAATCCGGTTTAAAATCGGAAGCCAAAAATAAATATATCGATCGATCGATCGATCAACCAATCGGAAGCCAGAGGTGCGGGGCCAAGTCTCTAGCAGCCTTCGAGGACGTCTAGATGCCCAATAAAGAGGACCCTGGCTCGTCAGACGACTGCCACCAGCACCCAGCCCCAAGGCCTCAGTACCACAAGGGATCCACGGTTTTCCCCTACCGCTTTCTCTTTTAGTAATTTATTTATCTTATTTTATTTTTTAAAGATTATATTTATTTTTAGAAAGAGGGGAAGGGAGAAAGGGAGAGAAACATCAATGTGTGGCTGTCTCTCCCAAGCCGCTGCTAGGGACCTGAGCCGCTGCCAGGGTCCCCTACCACTTTCCATCCCTCCGGCACCGCCCAGAGCGCAGGCGCAAGCGTAGTTGCGTAGTTGCGAGCACCACGGACTGCAACTCCCAGCAGGCCCCAAAGAGCCGCTGACCTGGGCGGGGCAGCTCACTTCCCGCCAGTGACTCAGACGCCGAGCTGGCTTTTAGACACCTGCTCCTCAGTTTTGCAGGCCGCTGGGGCGGTTAGGTCTTTCACCTTTAAGTCTAACGTACTGGAGCGGGTGGAGACCACCTTTAAATTCGTTATGGCCGGGACAGTAACTCTCAAACTTGGCTAGGGCTGAAGAATTTCTCAGGGGTGGGGGCGGGAATGTTAACAATTCGGATTTCCAAGCGAACCCCGAAACTCACGCACTGGATCTCGCTTGGCTAGAGTACTTGTATCTTAGCAAGCTTTCCGGGAATTGTAACCCAGGTAGCCTGCCGGTCACAACAGTTTTAGGACTTCTTACAAATTGATTTAGCAAACCTATTCCGCCCACCCATGGCCAACCCCGAGAAACCTAGGGTGTCCGGGCTCGCGGGAGCGGCTCCGCCTCTCGTCTTGAATTGGCCGCGCGCTGGTCCCGTCATGAGATAAATCTTCCTTTCTGGTTGGCCGGCGGGGAATCTGGGGAAATATTACCCAATGGGCGTTATAGTTCTCAGAACATGACCTGGAAATTGGTCTCAGGCAGGCGTCTTTGGCTGTGGATACTTAACTCACGCGCTAAAACTTCCGGCGTGGGAGTTGAGCGTTGAGTTCTGTGTGAGTCCGCGACACAGCGAAAAGCGTGGTGCTCAAGTCCTTCCCTAGGGAGGTCCTGGGGAGGGCTGGGCAGGGGGCTGGCGCAGTGGCCCTGGGCACCTACTGAGGCCAAGGCTTCGGAAGCGGCTGCGATCCGGCTGGAGCTGGCTCTTTGGCCCAGACTTGAAGCCCAGGGTCCTCCGGCTCCTGCGGACACCGGCCATCCCTGCGTGAAGCGGGGGCTCCTTTCCAGGAGGGCGCAGCTGGTTTCCCGGGTAAGGCACTTTGAGTGCATGACAATGGCGTCGTGCTTGGGCTCCCAGGATCAGGAAGGGCTCCTGATAGTGAAATTGGAGGAGGACTGCGCCTGGAGCCAGGAACTGCTGCCACCGGACCCAAGGCCCAGCCCGGAGGCCTCCCACCTGCGCTTTAGACGGTTTCGCTTCCAAGAGGCTGCTGGGCCCCGGGAAGCCCTCAGTCGTCTCCAAGAGCTTTGCCATGGGTGGCTGCGGCCTGAGATGCTCACCAAGGAGCAGATCTTAGAGCAACTGGTGCTGGAACAGTTTCTAATCATCCTGCCTCAGGAGATTCAGAGCAGAGTGCAGGAGCTGCATCCGGAGAGCGGCGAGGAAGCGGTAACCCTTGTGGAAGATATGCAGAGAGAGCTTGGGAAATTGAAGCAACAGGTGAGGAAAAGAGTTGTATTTGGGGTTTGGCTCTGACTGGGATTAGCGGGCCGGCCCAGTTCCGTACACGAATTTACTTGGTTTCCCTGAGTGGGCCTTACATAGGCAAGAAGCCTTTTTGTAGTTTAGTCAGGAACATAAATCATCCAGATTTTACCCAAATGAGTGAGTAGCGAAGAGTGCCCTATTTCCATTTGGAGTCAGTATCCCTGCTTTAGTGCGAGTCCCGCCCGGACTCAGCTCGCAGGGTTCAGATCGTCACTGTTTCATAATAGCGTTGCGACTTTAGTAACTTTGGGAAAGTTACTAAATCTTTTTGAGGGCAAGTTACTGAATCTTCTTTACCTTCAGATACACCACTGGTAAAATGAGAGTGATGAAATACCTTTCTAGTGTTGCTTTGACCGTTAGAGGGAAAGCAACAGGTAATTTTTGTTTTTCCTAAATTCTTGCAGCACACCTGTTAAAAAATCACTGCCTTAAACAGTCACATTACTTTCCGAATCACACTTTTAGCAGTATTTTTTATTTTGCTTGATGAAAAGCACTCAAGCAAGTTGTTACAGTCAGACGTTTTTAAATTGATTTGAGAGAGAAACATCTATTTGTTGTTCCACTTATTTATGCACTCATTGGTTGATTTTTGCGTGTGCTCAGTCTGACTGGGACTGAACCTGCCACCTTGGTGTAGTGGGATGATGCTTTAACCAACTGAGCCACCTGGCCAGTTTTGATTACACTACTGGCTTAGAGTTAGTGCTAAATAGCTGTTAGCTGTCGTTATTTTAGAGTTAGCAGTCTGGTCTCCAGTGCAGAGCTGGGTGGGAGTTTGCTGTAGACTCCCAGTTATTAGAAAACCAGTTTGGCACTGTTGCTTTGAGGGCACTTGTGTCCCCAGGGTCCCCAAGTTTAACTTATCCAGTAGTGAGGAATGGGAGCATTTAGAAAAGGTGAGGGAAAGCAGGAGGGAGTGGGGTGTGTCCAGAAGAGTTGTGTGGGGCAGGTGTTCTCTGGGAGTGGACTTTTGTTCTCCTACCATGCACCCCCATTTTCTTACATGCACTTGGGATCAGAAAGGCCTGTAGTAGAAACCATGCTTCTCTTTTTCTGGGCCCAAAGGGATCACCAGTGGTTCACTGTTGAAAGCTTGCTCTCAGAATTCTGTACTAATTTCCTTTCTGTGGGGCCCTGTTGTGATGATGAGTAATGTGGGTTGGTTCCCAGGTCACAAACCATGGGCTGGGAACAGAAGTGCTTTCGGAGGAGCCTTTGTCTCTGGAAACAGAACGAAAGTCACCGAGCTTCAAGCTGGAGCCAATGGAGACTGAGCGAAGCCCTGGGCCCAGGCTGCAGGAGCTGCTAGGCCCCAGCCCTAAAAGGGACCCACAGGCTATAAAGGAGAGGGGTGAGGAACAGTCATCTGGGTAGGTGGGGGGGGGGAGGTTTGGGTTTGCCTCTGACATCAGCAGGATGGAGCACCGATGCCAGCAAGAGGCAGTTTCTGCCCTCAGGGTTCCCAGAGTGGAGTGAAATACCTAGAAGTGATAGTTAGGTTCTTCTGGAGGTGGGAGGAGGGAGGTAAAGAGATTTCTTAGCTCTTTCATATGCAGAACAGAGACATTTAGAACTAAATGAATGATTGAGGACTCGAAGCTGCAGAATACTGGTACTCTTACCCTTACTCCTGCATTTAGGATATCATTTTGGAGATGACTTTATTATGCCTCTCTTGCCTTCTTTTGTTCAGTGTTCAATCCTTAGAGCAGAGACTGAGTGTTGGGGAATGGATACTGTGTTGTAATAATCCTTGGGTTGCTAAGAATTAGGGATGCCGTTCTCATCATGATTTCTATCATCTTCAGCATTATCTGCTCCCTGGCTTTCTCTCTTTCCTCCTGAAGGAAACTTGGAAGACAAGATGACTGGGCCCCAGGTGATGTGGAAGTTCTCAATGTCTTCCCCCAGCACACACCCCCCCATACCCTGTGTTGCTCTTGTGGTGGTGGGGTCCTTTTGCCACTTGGAGAGGATCCTTTCTCCCTCACCACTGTGTCTCCCCCACTTTCTTTATATGACTCCTCTTTACCTCACTCCTAGGCTTTGTGTCCTTCTTCTCCATGAAATGTATCCTCAGCACTCTGGGTTTTGCCCCTTTAACCCATGACTCTGCTTGAATTGTTCTTGGTGTCTCTGGGGCTAAAGAAGATCTTGTACTGTTTCAGTTGCCTGAGAGCTTAGAGGACGTGGCTATGTACATCTCCCAGGAGGAGTGGGGGCATCAGGATCCTAGTAAGAGGGCTGTCTCCAGGGACACGGTGCAGGAGAGTTATGAGAATGTGGACTCACTGGGTAAGGACTTCTTTTCCAGGAATGAACACTGAGCCATTTGACCAGGTTCCTCTGTCTTACCCACTCACCTCCCAGACATAAGTTCCCAGTTTTTCCAAAAGACCTCCCTTTGTTTAAAATCCGCTGAACTAGGATGAGTTAAACTGCTTCCAAATGGCACATTTGGCACACTTACAGGCCCCAGCTGCCAGAACTGAAGGCAGGGAGTCTGAGCCATGATGGATTTCCCAAGGCAGAACAAGTCAAATCGGGTGACTGTCCCCACCCACCCCAACCACATACTGTGGAATTGTAAGTTCTTAATGCCTTGCAATTTTGAGATGTTTATTCTTCTGATCTCACCTGTGTTTTCTGTGCTTCATTAGTATTCCTAGGCCCTTCCCCAAAGACACAAATTTCAGTGGCAGTGGCATCAACATTCCAGTTCAGCAGCTCTCCCATCCCTTAAAAATTCAAGAAGTGGGGAAGACCTTATGGAAATTTGGAAATGATAAATATATCCAAAAGTGGAGCTAGATAAATCAAGCACAAATTAAGATGCATCTGTGTGTTGATTTGTTATGCAGAGATCTAAAATGAGGCCTATGAAATACGACGAAAAAACAGTTTTTTAGGTGGAGAGTGGACACAAAATTCATAGGATTTAGATGGGGAGGGTATGCAGGTATTGTTTAATTCCATCAACTTTTATGTATGTATGAAAATTCTCATAATAAAAGTTGGGGGAAGTCTTAAAAAACCTAAGACAGGAATGTGTCCATTACGATTATGACTACATCTACACACACACAGTAGAAGAGTCACACTGGACTTTGCTTTCATATATTAGGTTTTCATAAAGAGTAGCACAGCTATCAGTTCACTTGCACTAATTCTGCAAAGGGGTCACAGCTGGGTTTGTTTGGTTGCCTTCATTGGGATCTCCTCCAGGTTTTCCATCACTGTGCTGTGGTTTGGTGCCCTAAGTTTAACACAGCTCTTTCAGTGAGTGCAAAATAGGAAAAGAAGTTCACATCACAAGTCCTTAGAACTAAACTGTTTAAAGTTCATGTTTGCTGGAGTTGGAGTGAGGTTTTTGTTTTTAGCATAGCACAGGAATGGCACTTTGGGATTTTGACCTCAGGGTCCTTTCGGAACCTCCTGGTCCTTTTCTGATTATCCATGCTATATTTTCTCCTTCTGGAGTTGCCCAAAGTAGGTTTTATTCTCTATCTCTACATAAGAGTCAAGCCTCTTTTACAATATTAAACTGATAGCTCAAGGAACTAACTATCCTGACCATGTTTGTTTAATTACCAAAGTGCACATTCTCATTGCAAGAAAACTCCAAGTACTATAAAAGTGTGAAAAGAAAACTAGTCTCACCCAATTTCTTTTTCTAGAGGTAACCACTAGGAACAGGTTAGTGTATATATTCCAAGTAATTGTTGTCAGGCTTACTGCACCCTCTGTATCCACCCACTGAGGATAGGGAATAAGACTATCTTTGTTTGCTTTGCCCGGTGGAGGGAAGTGGTGGCATAGAAATCTATTTCTTTCATTGTGAACAGAATCTCAGGTTTCCAATCAGAAGGCCCTCAGCACTCAGGTGGAACAAGGAAGAAAACCATGGGATTCCAGTGTCCAGACATGCAAGGAGGGACTGAACCCCAGAAGCCCCGTTTCAGGTAAGGAAGGTGAGCAGCCTGCCCAGCTAGTTTCCCCCACTGGGAGTGAGGAATTTGAGGGTTTCGGGATGGGGCTAGCCTGTCATGGCTGCCAGGGAGGTACATGAGTCCTGTGTCCTCACTGCCCACTTCCATCCCAGTGAGGCAGGCAAGGCACCCAGAGTTCAAAACGTAAGGAAACATTCACTCATGGGCTCACTTGCACATCTTAGTCAGTAGCTTTGCTCCATCTCTCCCATTTCAGAAGGGCAGAGTCAGAGGCTCAGTTAAAGATGGATGTGGGGACCCCTACAAAGGAATAATACTGGTCTGAGCTCTGATTCCTGAGCAATGAATGGCCCCACCTTTTATCCAGATGCCTCTTTAGAGTGCCTTTGCTGTAAGGGGAAGATGGAAAACTGAGGTGCTACCTTTCTGCCCTTCTGACCTGTTAGTAGCAGGCATATGGGATTTTCTTTTTCTCTAGGGTAGAAATAATGTAGAGGTTTGGTTTCTCTCTCTCCTTCCCCCCCCCACTTCTCTCCCCCAGGGGAAGAGAAATTTGAGATTCAGGAAGAAAGTACTCAGTCTATTTCCCCTGAGAGCATCCATCTGCAGGTGCTTCTGCCTGGCCAGGCCAGAGGGGAGGTGCCCTGGAGTCCTGAGCAGGGACGGCCTGGGGACAGGGCAGAAGGACATTGGGAACCTCCCCCAGGTGATCAGATGGAGCAGTCCTTAGTGGGGGCCACAAGTTGCAGAGAAGTGGGACAACCAAAGGAACTGCAGCGGAAGAAGCTCCACTTGTGTCCCTTATGTGGCAAAAATTTCTCTAACAACTCAAATCTTATTAGGCACCAGAGAATACATGCAGCAGAGAGGCTGTGTATGGGTGTGGAGTGCAGTGAAATCTTTGGTGGGAGCCCCCACTTTTTATCACTACACAGAGCACACTTGGGAGAGGAGGCCCATAAGTGCCTCGAATGTGGAAAAAGCTTCAGCCAGAATACCCACCTGACTCGCCATCAGCGCACCCACACAGGCGAGAAGCCCTATCAATGTAATGTATGTGGAAAAAGCTTCTCTTGCAACTCCAACCTCCACAGACACCAGAGAACACATACTGGTGAAAAGCCCTATAAGTGCCCTGAGTGTGGGGAGATCTTTGCTCACAGTTCCAATCTCCTTAGGCACCAGAGAATACACACGGGAGAGAGACCCTATAAGTGTGCTGAGTGTGGAAAAAGTTTTTCTCGCAGTTCCCACCTTGTCATACATGAAAGAACTCATGAGAAAGAGAGGCTTTACCCCTTCTCCGAGTGTGGGGAAGCAATGAATGACAGCGGCCCCTTTCTTACAAATCATGGAACCCACAAGGCAGAGAAGAAACTCTTTGAATGTTTGACTTGTGGGAAAAGCTTCCGTCAGGGCATGCATCTCACCAGACATCACCGAACGCACACAGGAGAGAAACCATATAAATGTACCCTTTGTGGAGAAAACTTTTCTCATAGATCCAACTTAATCAGGCACCAGAGAATTCACACGGGAGAGAAACCCTATACCTGTCATGAATGTGGAGACAGTTTCTCTCACAGCTCCAATCGGATTCGTCATCTAAGAACCCATACAGGAGAGAGACCCTATAAATGTTCTGAATGTGGAGAAAGCTTTTCCCGGAGTTCACGCCTTATGAGTCATCAGAGAACTCACACCGGATAAAAAAAACCATGGGGTTTCATTTTGCCCCAGATAAGGTGGCATATTCAGAGGATCCTGTTGAGAGCTGGTATTTCTTTCCCTGCTGAACAAAAGAGTAACAGGGATAGGTATGTGTGGTGGTCTATGTGAGGGAGGTGCAGAGACAGCTAAGGATTCACATAAAGCTACAAAGGAATTCTGTTTGGACTAGTGAGGGTGACAAGTCTTTGAGGTGACCTGCTCAGGGCAGAATTCTCTGTGAAGTCCATTTTGTCTCAGTATACCTACCCCTTTCGAATATTTAGTGATATTCAAATTGTGATTTGGGTGCCTTACTGTGTCTGTGTTCAGTGTCTTTCCCAGCAACTTTGGGAATCCATGTAACTTTCTTTTTCTTTTTCTTTTTCTTTCTTTTTTTTTTTTTTAAGATTTTATTTATTTAGAGGGGAAGGGAAGGAGAGAGGGAGAGAAATACCAATGTATGGTTGCCTCTCATGCATCCCGTGCTGGGAACTGGCCCACAGCCTAGGCGTGTGCCCTGACTGGCAATCGAACTGCGATCCTTTGGCTCACAGGCCCTTGCTCAATCCACTGAGCTACACCAGCCAGGGCCCATGTAATTTTATGTAACTTCTTCCTCACTTGGGACATTCAGCAGGAGCATTTGAGCTCCTGAGGCCCTTGAGACCAAAGAAGAGGGGGGTGAGTCTCATGAGAAACCAGCTTGAGCGCAAGGAAAGACTAGGTGGTAAGTTGTACCTCTCCCAAAGGCCCTGAGGGGGAAACAAGCCATAGTGCCCCTCAGTGGCCTGACAGGAGGGCCCATTGGCAGGCCGTACATATCAGAGTCACCTCAGACAAAACGGACCCAGAAACCTAAGGAAAACAAGTAATTTGCAGGTCAGCCTAGGAATTGGCGGAGGGTGCTGGAGTCTAAATTAGTCTACCCTTTGTAGAGATCAAGAGTTCCTCCACCTGTGTCAGAGAAAGATATACAGAGCTCTGGAGTCTTCAGGGGGTTCCATATAAGATGGGTTTCCTAGACTTTGAAAATGTGGATGATAGGGAAATTAGGGATCATGCCTTTCCTTGTTGGAAATATGTTTTGATGGTAATAAATATCTTCAGGAAACATGAAAGTGTGTGACTCTTCATTGAGATCCTTTGTTCTGGCCTCCAGCATTGATCTGTATCCCATCTGCTTTGGTTGGAGGACTTACTGTTTGTAGTCTTGCTGGGTTGGTCATGAAGGGTCCCACAAAGGTGGTAGCAGACAGGATGAGTAGGATGTAGCCCTCACCAACTCCAGGCTGGGACTGCTACACCGCGGTAACAAAGGGTCAATTTCGGTGGCTGCTTGAGGTGATGTCATAATGGTCTTCAAGGTTTTCTTTCCTTTGCTGGTGTCCAACAGTGCATGATTTAAAAAAAAAATTTGGGGGGAAAGTAACTGAAGGAAGGTTGGGGTTGGGCTCTTCAGAGACAGGGTGTCTTGGTCTTACAAATGATTCCCAGGAAAAGATGGTCCTGATATAACAGTTACTGCCCATTACTGGAGAGAAGGTATATGGGGAGGGCAGATCATTAGATGAAAGCATTATATCTTATTTTTAAATACTTCATTTTCAGAGGTAAAAGGAGAGAGGAAGAGAAACATCAATGTATGTTTGCCTCTTGTGTACCCTCTACTGAGGACCTGGCCTGCAATCCACCCATATACCCTGACTGGGAATCGAATTGGCAATCCTTTGGTTTGCAAGCCAACACTCAGTCCACTGAGCTACACCAGCCAGGGCAGGAAGCATTATATTTTAGAATGGGTAATTAGGAATATAATTTTAGGAGCATGTATCTATGGGGAAGGGGTAGAATACCAAGAAGTATTCTAGGAGTAGGACATTATCAGTCTTCTCTCAGCCCTGCCTCAGTATAGTGAGACTTTTTCCTTGGTTTTCTGAGGCAGTTTTTAAAAACTTACTGTTTCTCACTTCTTTGCCTTTCTCTTACCCACAAGAAGACAATGGTAGTGCAGAGGGTGGAGGGTTGAGGATTTAAGAGATGTAGGATCCACAGTGGTAGGAGTGGGCCAGGATCAGATATAGCTGCTGATGCCATGATGGTACTAAGAATTCTCTTTGGCTAAGGTGGCAGACAGCATTGTAAATCTTATGAGACTGGAAAATACCTCTCCCCCTTCACTCTCCCTCCTGTCACTTCCTCACAATAATATCACCCATGTTGATTTTATGATGTGTCCAACTGGTGGAATTCCTGCTTGAAGCATTGCAACTTCAGGCTTATAGCAACAAGGACCCATGCGTATTTGCTTTTGCACTAAAAAGGCTTTCCAGTAGGAGCCTCTACTTTCCAACAGTGTAGCTCCTTTTTAGCAGATTTCAGATGCATAGCTGTTCTCAGCCTTGTTTTAATGAGATAGTGTCACAAATCATTGCATGTAAAATCCTTGGCACAGTGCCTGGCACATAGAAAGTATCTATTTGTGCCTTCTGTGGGCAGATAATACTTGCAACACTTTCTTCAAACTCCACTGGCTGAAAGAGCAGGCAGGCCCTTCACTGCAAGGGATGGCCAAGGGTATGCTTTTTCACGTTCATACTTTCATATGACACACGAACTGTTGACATGCTTTCATTTGCTAGTCCCTCTTGTAAAAGAAGCGGAGTAGATTCCAACTGGCTTTTATTCAAGGGGACAATAATGCAATAAAGACCCCTGCCCCCTCAGTTGAAATGGGTACACAGGAGACCTGGGAGATATGGCCTCACAGACAGCAAATGTAGCACAGGAGACCAACAGAAAGGCTCCTTGGTGGAGAATCGGTAATACACTTAGGCAATGTGAAAACGCCTGGCAGAGGCAGGCCAGACAGCAATGAGGACAAAGCCTGTAGTGTCAGAAACTAGAAGCGTTAAATACTAAATTGTTTTTTTCGCCCCAGAAAATCCTGTCAGAAATCTTAAGGATTTGTACTGTATGAATGAAGGAATTTATGGCTGTCAACATCATATCTGAAATTTGTCATTGATAATCATTGAATTAATCAACTGATACGATTTTGGAATAGGCAAAATCACTGCCACTGCTTTAAGACTTGTAATTTTTGTAAATGTTTCACAGGCATTTGAAACAACTAAGGTTAAAAGTCTTAATGTATGTTACAGAAAATCAGCTAGCAAATTATCACTAGGGGGCTTCTTTGTTGGGTGTCAGGAGATCAAGAATAGCAAGATGAATTAAAAGCAAAAGTGCATTTATTAGAAGCATTTTTTAAGGCTTCAATTTAGCTTGCAAGCACTTCTGATGAAAACTTAAATTTCCATTCTCGAAAGGGAGATTGGCCCTGAGTGATGTGGCCCAAGTGGATTGGGTGCTGGCTTGCAAACCAAAAAGTCACTGGTTCCACTCCCAGTCAGGACACAAGCCTGGGGTTGCCAGCCATGTCCCTGGCAGGGGGTGCATAAGAGGCAACCACACTTGGATGTATTCCTCTCTCCCTCCCTTCCTGTCTCTCAAAATAAATTAAAAAAATAAAATCTTTTAAAAAGGGACTAATATGATATTTTCTCATCACATACTTTTTACTGAATGGGTCTAAGTGTTGCCTGAGTTAGGAGGCAGTGGGAATGGTCTGTGTAAATTCAATGACAAAATGGTTGATGAAAAGTGGCTCAGATCACAAGTAAAATTCTGACAGATCTAGTTAATGTCGCCAGTTCATCACTGAGACTTGAACGTCTCAGAAGCTTTAGGCAAATCAAAACTGATAACTCACCAGGGTCCAAACTTGCTCCAGGGAGACAGTAAGATTTTCCCATGCAAAAAGGGTGGGGAAATCCAGGGTTACATTTTGGACACAACGAGCAACTGTTTGCCCCTTCATCCCTGCTTCCCCTCAAGGCAGGAAAACACTAGAACCTGGGTGTGGTTCCCCACTCCAAAGGTGAAACTGCCATTGAGCGGACTCACCACTCTCCTAGGAAGAGTCCCGCTTACATTTAGGAATCCAGCCGCTGCCATTGGAACAAGAGGTGCTTAGGTTTCTTGGAGGAACTCTAGTCTTCAGGATGGTTTCCAGAACCAGACTGCAGTCCTTTCCTTTTTTTGGGTTGGGTCAAAGCAAATGAATTTTTTGCTCCCACAGCTTAGCCTTACATGGACATGGAGGACAGAGGTGCTGCTTCCCTAGAACCTCCTGCCTGCTCCACCAGACTGGTCCCATCGAGGATGTTTCCCAAGTGGACCCAGGAGGAGCAAGGGCTGACATGGTGTTGGTGGCTGCATTCCGACAAACCTTTAAGCTCTGCCCTCCACGGCCCTTCAGGACTGGGGACTGAACCCAGGGAATATAAGCATGTTCATATCTGTGCCTGGCACTCTATGGCTGAGCCTGCTTGGACTTTCCCCTGCAGCCCCAGCCACTGTGGCTCCTCAACAGGGCTTTATGGCTGCGACAGGTGGTTCCTTTCACTCAGGCTGTCCCTCCATCTGGGAACTGCCTTTGCCCTGGCTGCTCTGGCCTGCAGGTGGGAGCTCATTCTCTGGTCGTGTTGACCACGCTCTCCCTGCAGGCTTCGACTACCAGGGCTGAGTTGGTCCACTATGCTCCAAGACTTACCTCTCTATACCCGAGGGGATACTTGCTGTGCAGCAGCACTCCCCTAAACGTCCTGTCGTTCAGATGCCGGTGTACCAACCCAAGGCCCACAACAAGGCTGGGCCAGCTCTCTTCTTCCCACAGGTGGCCAGCATGGGTGGTGGTTTGAATGCGATGGGCAGTCCATGGAGGGTCTTAAGCAGGAGAGGCTCTAACACCTTCTTGTTTTAGTTCGCTGTGCAAGGCTGTAGGGTTGGGGAAGGATTGGGAGACCAGAAAGAAGGGTAGGGAGACTAAAGAGATAAATGCAGTCACCAGGGCAGGGCGTGATGGCAGCCTGGACCTGGACTTGAACAGTGAGGTGGGAGAAGTGAAGACAA